AAACACAGGATTTGAATTTATTTTTTCCATTCAGCACATTCAGCTAGCTAATGCCTGTCAATTTTTATAGAATGATTACAAGGAAAAAATGGGGAAAACAACGAAGGCAGATTCTTCTGAACAGAAAAGTAGAGACAAACAATATATATATTTATCTGGTCTCTTTGGAGATCAAGCAAAAAGATAAAAATGGGAAAAGTCAAGAATTTTAAACACAGAATTTTGATTGATTTGATACGTTTGACTAAATCCTAATTAATTGAGGTTGGGGTGGAAGCTGGGGTAATCTTCTGTGTAAATTAATTTATTTTTGCAACAATAGTTTTCAACTTAGTGCCTTGTATAAATTTAACCAATTATGCTTTATTCAACGAGTCATGATAAAACCAATTTTGTACAAACTAGGTCAGTATTCTCTCTGTATATTTAATAATAAAGATTAGCACAGCAAATAACTGCAAAAAAATCAGATATTAGCTTTTATAAAACACGATCAAATGGTTATTACAAAGCTACCTAACATTGTTTACATGCTGGAATTATTTTAAAATATGCTTGAAATGAATGGACAAAAACATTGTAAAGATGAGTTGGGTATTTCAGATGATAAGATATATTCCCACTGCAGCTGTCTCCAACAGCTGGGAATGATGAAGTTGGTTTTATACAACATACTACTAATCCACAAATTAGACAACCGAACTTTAGCCTAAGCATACTGCACAAACTTAGTGGTACTATTAATTGTTTGGTGCCTTGTACACTTCCAGAAAAAGAATGTAATTCAATTAATCATGGTTATATTAACCATGAATATGCACATCATGTGAATATAGGATCCATTCCTTGCCAGAAAAGAGTCCTTTGCTTAGTTTTGTGCTTTGATATGAAATTTATATTAGAATTTTAATCCTTCAAGAGTCTCTTGTGCTTTTTTCTGTTGTGTTATCAAAGAAGTTATCAAACACAATCATAAACCGAAGTAGGATTTGCAGTGACTATGTATTCAATTCTGAAGAAATGTATTTAAAAAGCATGTTTTTCTACATTCCAGGTGACCACAGTTACCCTTGCATTGTTTCCCCTGTCCTCTGATATCTTAAAAGCCTGTAAAACTATTTGTGCGATGAAAGGCACATGTGTTCACAATACTCTTACATCTTTGCTAGAGATCTTGTTCCCAGCAGTGCTTGCAATAAGAAAGAATAATTCTGACTTGTTTTTTGCATTAAAAAAAAATACTAAGATAAAAAAGGTGCTCTCTGAGATTGGTTGCTTGTTTCCAGATGTTTTATTACCTGGCTAGGTAACATCATTAGTTTTGGTGAGTGTGGAATTTGCTCCCTGTGGCTGGTCCCATTCATCTCCACACTTCAACCTTGAGCCACATACATTTCTTTTGAAAGTCAAAAATCTTTGCCTTGGCATATCAACTGAGTGCTCTATCAATTAACAGCAAGCAGCCAAAGTCATAAAACTTCCTTTCTCTCATTCCAGAGTTCAGGACACAGAATAATGTGTTATTCTGGGTTACCGGAAAGTAGTTACCAGCCGGATATTATAAAAAATAGTTTTCTGATACTAAGAGCAGTTTGGCAGAGAAACCAATTACATACAGTCCTCATCTTACAACGTGGTGTTTAACAACCATTCAAAGTTCCAATGGCACTGAAAAAAGTAACTTATGACTGGTCCTCATAATTATGACCATCATACCTTTCCCAAAGTCATGTGACCAATATTCAAACACTGGGCAACCGGGATATATTTATAAATGCCTGCAGCATCCTAGGGATCCCATATAATCACCACCTGCAACCTTTCCAGCAATTCGTTTTAGAATTGCTTTGTTTAACAACAAAAATCCTGGTTACAATTTTGGTTTTAAATGGAGGACTACCTATATCATGATAGGTGGAGGCTTCTCATCCATTAGATGATTCAAACAGAGGCTAGTCAAAGATGGTTTACTTTGGATGCTTGCACTTAGGTTTTTTTTTAGGACTAACTGGAAGACCTAGGCTACAACATATGAAGAACAGTTGCAGAATTGGGTATGTCTAGTCTAATGAAAAGAAGGACTAGGGGGGGTGACGTGATAGCATTGTTCCAGTATCTCAGGGGCTGTCACAAAGAAGACGAGTCACGCTATTCTCTAAAGCACCAGAAGGCAGGACAAGAAACAATCAAGGAGAAATAATCAAGAGAGAAGCAACCTAGAATTAAGGAGAGAATTTCTTGACAGTGAAAACAATCAGCTTGCGTTCAGAAGTTGTGGGTGCTCCATCACTGGAGGTTTCTGAGAAGAGATTGGACAACCATTTGTCTGAAATGGTATAGAGTCTCCTGCTTGAACAGGGGGTTGGACTAGAAGACCTCCAAGGTCCCTTCCAACTCTGTTATTCTGTTATTCCTTATCTGAAACTTTTGCTGTCCCTGTCTGGCCATGCATGAGGTCAATTGGAAATTAGAAATCGAATGTAAATAAGTGTACAGCCCTAATGCTTCAGTCTCTACAACAATCCCAGTTTCTTATGTAGCCCTTTTGGAGAAATTAATTGGCCAACCCTGCTTAAAGAAGACCAACTCCCAATCTGCAAGGCAGTATTCAACACCTGAGAAAGCTCCTAGATTAGCACATTAAAGAATCACCATAGCAGGAATACACGCATATGAGGCAGAGTCTGGTTCTCCTTAATGTCAGAACTGGAGCTAGCATTTTTATGTCTGAACCTCATTTTTAAAATTCTCCTTAAACATAACATACACACAAGCACTACTGCCATTCTACAGATGGTATTACTTCTAAACTTTGGATTATATTAGTGTTTCACAAAAGGCAGTTTCATTGTAAGTGTGTGTTGCTCTCAGTTGTGACTGCACAGTTCTCAACCTTGATTCCTAGACAATAATAATTTTTGCACTGGAAAAATCATTATCTGACTATCAGGTCTCCTATCTAAAGAAAACAAGTGAGAATCAGGTTTATTAATTGATAGAAGTTTTTATTTATTTGGTATTTTGTTACAGATTTAGGGTGAAACCAGAAACTGTCTAATGGCAGGGAATTCTACAACACCTTACAAGATGCTTACTGACATACGAGCAGAAAGGAAAGTTATTTTATGTAAATATGATTATAGTACTAACAAATATTGCTCTGGAAAAAAGTATGGCTTTAAGTTTTAATTTGAGCCTATTTAAAACAAGCCACATCTATTAAACCTTTTAAGTTCAAAATGTCCAGTTGCTAGGCAGGTTTTTGCTATATACAAAATTGGGTGCAGGTAAAATACAAACTGTTAGCTGAATGTCCAAAAAAAAAAAAAAGGAAAAAGAAAGGAAAAAGAAAAAGGAAAGTTTGCTTTCTTATACTGCCACCTAGAGGGCAATGCCAGGAATACGCCCAACAACAGCAAAAACATTATCCTAGGCGAGGGAAAAGTGAATTAACTTTAAGATTCTGTGTCAGCTGGATTTATATCTTATTTATTTCTACTAAATATTATAATGGAATACAAAGCACAATTCACCTGGAAGCGCTGAATGTAACAGAACTGCTGGACACTTTGCAAGATATTTATATACTTATTTATAAAGATAAATGTTCTCTCAAAGAAGAAATAAAAAGGAACAAAAGGCAACCTCCTCTTGGTTCCTTACAAAAGTTTTTCAGCAGTGATTTTTAGTAAAAGGAATTGTTTCTCCTTTTATTAATTTTATGCTAATTACCCTTGTCTTTTCTAACCAAGGTCTGAGCAAAGCTGTTATTGTGATGCAACTTTAGAGGAAGGAATATTTAAAAATAAATATACTTTGGAGGTAGTGTACACAATGAACTTTGAAAATCCTCCTCTTTAATTTTTATTATATTTGTACAAATAGATGAGAGCACATGTACGCACATACATACACATATACACACAATCACTACAGTGACACAAACCGAATTATGACATGATACAATTCTGCAAGCTAAAGAATTAACACTGAATTGGTAGTAGCCATCTGTATGCCTGATCTAGAAAACTAGGCAGAGTTGGCCTTAGCATTTGGATATGGAAACCATTGTAAGCTAGACACACAAACTATGCCTCTACTTGTGTAGAAACATCCGAAGAATTCACAAAGTGAAAACAAAATTTAAAGGAGGCTTTGCTTCTATTTGCACAAACATAAGTGCACACAAACATACATAACCACATGAACCAGCTTCAAGGAACAGGCGCCCTTCCCAGGCTAAACTAGTAACTGCATCAATTAAATTACTAAAATAACATTTTTTCTTTAACAAAGAGTTATGATTTCCAGATTATTCCAACTTCCTTTTCTCCCAACCATCCTTCTCAGAACCAGTAAGTGTCCTGGACAAGTCGGACGTTACTAAGGAGATATGCAAATACAAACTCTTTGAAATTTCTCCAAGAAAGTAAGTAAAGGTAGGGAAGAAAGTGGGGATTGGAGAAGAGGGTGGGGAGAACGAGAGGTGTAAGAATCTGAACTAGCAAAAGCACATGTTGCTCAAATTTATGCTCCCAACATATTCTATGCCTCTTGAAAATCTACTTTTGATCACTTATCAGCTTTGAGAAGAGAAATTTATTTGTGAACTATTCTCTCTCCAATCGTTTGCAAACTGCCCCAACGCGACTCTTTTCCCGAAGATCTGCTAACCCTTTAACTTTTCTACTAAGAGAAAACCTTTAGCTAATCCATCTCTTAAATCCAAGGGAGACCCCGAGTTTTCTCATGAATACTCTCTAGATCCCTGTACCAAAACCGGTGTGTGTGGGGTGGAGGAGAGTAAGGTAAAGTCTCCGCAGAGCCTCTCTCTCTCTCTCTCCCCCCCCGCCCTCGGCCCAGGCGCTTCAGCCCTTCTCACTGCCACGACTTCTCCATCCGTCCGAGCGGAGGGGCGGAAGGCGCGGAACCCCGAGGCGAGGAGCCCGGCTTTCTCCCACCCGCGTCCTGCCCCCCGAGCCAGGCAGGGGTTGGCTTACATCCTCCTCCTCGCCGTCGCTCCTCCTCGCCTGGTACTGGAAGCGAGGTCTGGGGTTGTGCGGCTGCGACGGGCGCGAAGCCTTCGCTGCTCCGGCGACCGCGTGGGCCGAGGCGGCGGCGGCAGCAACAGCAGCGGCGGCGGCGGCCCCGTCTTCCTCGGAGCACTGGGGGCCTAGGAGATGGCTGGCTTCGGGCGTGACGGGGAAGGAGCGGGAGGTGTTGATCTTCCCGCCGAAGCGCTGGTACAAGGAAGCCATTCGGCCGGTCCAGGGCGGCAGGCTGACCACAAGGCTACGGGAGTTCGCCGGCCGTCTGGAGCCCCTGTCTTCTGCCTGGCGCTCGCCAGCTCCGGACGCGCCACCCCGTCTGCCTCAAGGGAGCCGGCGAGAACGGCGCGCTCGCCGCCCGGGCATCGGAACAGAGGAAGGCTAGCAGGAGGAGGAGGAGGACGTGTAGGAACCCCGCCGTCGGCGCGTCAAACTCGCCGCCCTCTTCCCTCGCCTGGAAGCTGGTCGGTCGATGCGGTCCTGACCTCCCCCCACCCCCGGTTAGAGGAGGGGCGCGGAGCAGGGAGGCGACTGGGGTCCCTCGCCCGGCGCCTTCCCGGGGCCACAGAGCAGCCGCTTTCCAGGTCTCATGCCAGCAGAGAGGGTGTGTGTGTCTGTGTGTGTGAGATGGCTGGGGGGAGCGGAGAGGAGTGTGCGCGCGCGTGCCAGGGAAGGAATGGCGAGTGTCCTCTGCGCGCGAGGCGGCCGCGAGAGCGGGCTCCGCAGACCGGGCGGACGGTCTCCTTCAGCCCCGGCCAACTGGGTTACCCTCCCTCCACGGGGAAACTTGGAAAGCAGCGGGCGAGTGGTCGGTGGTGGCACAGCTCGCCTGCCTGCCTGTGCTCGGAAGAGGGAGAGGCGAGAGAGCGGCCGTGGCACGCTGCCTTTCCTGCCGGGGGCTCGCGTAGAGAAGGGTCAGGGCACAAGGCTCCGGCTGGTGCCCCCCTCCTGCTTGCTGTGTGCACCTGCCCAAACCTTCTCCTCCCGGCGCCGCGGGGCTTGTTTCAACCCCCTCCGGCGCTGCGCCCGCTTTCTTCATTCATTTTGCTGCATTAAAACGTACGCCAGCGCCCCTCCGTGGAAACACGCGCGCACTATTTCGCGGGCGTCAACAAAAGCGCCAGACGAGCCAAGACCCCCGCGAGTCGCCCGGAGGGACGGAGGAGATCAAAGCCATCACGACACCCCCTAGCCCAACTCCTCCGGGGAAAGGCTGGTGTCTCATGGCACCCCCTCCCTGCCGGCAGCTTGCCAGTCCGGAGGGCTCAGCCGCAGCCGACGGCGACTAAGTCGCTCTGGGCCAGCCAGAGGTTAGCTCTGGGCGGCGGCGTTTCACTAAGGGCTGTCCGGGCTTCTGGATGGGGAGACTGCGAGCCCCCCTCTCGCAGATCTCTGGGTTCCCATAGCAACAGGTGTGTGTGTGTGTGCGCGTGTGTGTGTGTGTGTGAGAGAGAGAGAGAGGTGGGGTGGGGGGGCGTTGTTTAGCCATACCAAACTGGGATCTAGAAACTTGAGAATTCAGAGGCCGAGTTCTCGGAGGAATAAGCTTTGGACTTTATCTCTCTACCTTTCCTAGCTTTTCACAAAAGGCTTCTGAGCCGAGAGGTTTCTTTCCTCTGGCATTTCCTTCCTTGCATTATTGCCATTATTATTTCTTAAATGCCAATAAAAGAGAATACTTGGAGCAGATGGCTGAACTGTGGGGTCCTTGGTGCTCTCTGAGGTTGGCTGGTGTTTTTTTTTTTTTTTGGCTGTTTTTTTTTTTTTTTGCAGACTTTTCAGTAGCCAAGTAGGTCACTTCATCAGTGCTAGGGTTGGGGTGTTCTTTTTGCTAGCAGTTAAAAGATACTACCTAGTTGGGTAATGAAACATCTGCAAGAAAACAATCAGAGGACCAAGGATCCCACATATTTTTTTCAGTAACAATATCCTTCCATCCTTCCTCCCTCCTTTATCCACCTTTCTTCCCTCCCTCCTTTTCATGATCCTTCCTCCCACCCTCCCTCCTTTTCTTTATCCTTCCTTCCTTCCCTCCCTCCCTCCTAGTTGCCTGGCAATACAAACTAACTTTCTTAAACCACGAACCAGTGATCCTGCAATGAGCATATAATTTGGCCTTGATCTGGGAAAAGTGTCCCGAGGAAGCCAGATATTTAGATTAAAAGACAGTTCCTGATCCAAAGGGCGTCCTGCAGCCTCACTTGCCAGTAGCCAAGAGCCAAAGCAAACTTCCTTGTGATCTCCTGACGTTCATTCACAGGAAGTTCAAATAGGAGGCTGTGATAATAGAGTCCCAGATTTAAGCAGGTCCAATTTTTGCAGGCCTGTACCCCACAGCCTGGATTCATGATTCTGGATACAGATAATCCTTATCTTACAACCATTCGTTTAGTAACCATTTGAAGTTACAATGAGACTTACAAAAAGTGACATTTCCCCCTCCCCCTTATGACCCTTATGGAAGTTTCTCCAGGTGATCAGGTGGACCGGTTGTTTTCATGGTGTGGAGACAACAACTTGGTCCTTAACACCAATAAGACCAAGGAGCTTATAGTGGACTATAGAAGGAACAGATCAGACATCCAGCCCTTGCTTATCGATGGAGACCGAGTGGAGCAAGTGGCTGGTTTTAAGTTTCTGGGTGTTACCCTAAAAGAGGACCTGACCTGGGGTGCCCACATTGCAGCCCTGGTCAAAAGGGCCCAGCAGAGATTATACTACCTGAGACTTCTCAGAAAACAACTGAATGAAAAACTGCTGGTGACCTTCTACCGCTGCACCATAGAGAGCATTTTAACATACTGCACCTCTGTATGGTTTGCCAATTGCACAGTGGCAGATAGGAAAGCACTCCAGAGGGTTAATGTCATTGCCCAGAAGATCATTGGTTGCCCTCTCCCCTCTTTGGAAGAGCTTTATAGCTCCCGCTGCCTTAAGAAAGTTCAAAACATTCTCAGAGATCCATCTCATCCTGGGAACCCTTTTTTTGAACTATTACCATCTGGCAGACGGTACAGAATAATAAAAACAAAGGACAAATAGGCTGAAAAACAGCTTCTATCCCAGGGCAGTAACTCTACTGAATTCTACTATATAGTGCAATATTAATGCAATATCAGGGTTTTCAATTCAATGCGTGGAGGGTGAAGGATGTGTGTTTGTGTTTATTTTCATGGTCATGATGTGCACTGAATATGGTGTTTGATTTCATTGTACGAGGTACAATGACAATAAAGTAAAGTAAAGTAAAGTAAATTAGAACACATGGCAACTGGCATGTACTTTTGACGGTTGCAGTGCCCCACGGGATCACTTTTTATGCCCAGAAAGAGAAAGCCAGATTCACTTAACAACCATGTTACTAACTTAACAACTGCATTGATTCACTTAACAAACGTGGCAAGAAAGGTTGTAAAATGGGGTTCACTTAACAACTGTCTTGTTTAGCAATGGAAATCCTGGGTTCAGTAGTGGCTATAAGTTTGAGGACTGCCTGTATTGATCTGTAAGTCTTTTCACGTTCATTTTGAAAAATAAACAAGAGACACAGTGGGACAAATATTGTAACTAATTCCAGGAAACTGTAGAAAAAGATGATGAGTGCCTGTGGCAGAACAGTGCCAGAGCCTCTTGAGAAAAGAGATAAAAAGATTAGCAGGAGGAAGAGGTAGGAAATTGGGGAAGAAAATAAAAACAGAATTAAAGATGATGTGAGTTTTTCCTCCCTGTAGAAATGGACAGGAATGGAAGAAAACATTCAAGGTGACCATAAAATGACAATGGGAAAATTACCCTCAAGGCCACATGTGTTAATAATGCTTTTCTTTATCAGCATGTGAACAAAATAGTGTATTTTCTACAGTACTGTATTCTCAGTCACAGCTCAGGCCCTTAAGCAAAGATTACACGTATGTATTTCCAAATTTACTGAAAATGTATTACAGGTAGTCCTCGACTTACGACCACAATTAAGCTCAAACTCTTTTGTTGCTCAGCAAGGCAAGTTGTTAAGTAAGTTTTGCTCCATTTTGCAACCTTTTTCCTCCCCACAGTTGTTAAGCGGATCGCAGGTGTTGTTAAGTAAACCAGGCAGTTGTTAAACAAATTTGGCTTCCCCCAAATGGACTTTGCTTGTGGAGAGCCAGCTGGGAAGGGTACAAATGATGATCACATGACACCAGAACAGTGCAACTGTCATAAGTACATGCCAGTGGCCAAGCCTCTGAATTTTAATCACATGACCATGGAGATGTTGCAATGGTCTTAAGCGGAAAAACCGGTCATAAGTCGCTTTTTTCGGTGCCATTGTAACTTCGACCAGCCATTAAACGAATGTTGTAAGTCGAGGCCTACCTATACACCACAAAATATAGAAGTGGGGAGTTTGTAGAAGTCGGAGGAAGCAACTCGCTGCTCAAGGGAAGTAATATCTCAGCAAAAGATATGCTGTATTTTCTCCAGGCTGGGGAGAGAGTTACACACACAACCCACAAATACATCTGAAATAAAACATTTCCTCTCTCCCTTTAATAGCAAATTTTTGTAGGGAGACCCCAAAAACCAGAACCCAGGGACCTTTAGGAAGCTGGAATCAAACATCAACAAGAGTGGGGAATAAGCTTACAGAAATACAAAGGCTGTTTTTTTGTTTTTTTTAATGGATTTAGAAACCGATAAGAGAGGAAGTCAGCAGCCACAAATAACAGAGAGGAATTAAATGACTGCCTGGCTGGAATGCTGAATTGTAATGTTTGCACAGTATTAAAAGAGATCAACATAAAGAAAACCTTGGGTTGAACTTGATCCCCCATGACATGGACAAGCTGCTTAATAGATGCGCTTCTTTAGATGCGCTTCTTTACATGCGCCAGACCTGAAAACCAAATCACAGTTCATAAATAGAGGAAGGCATTCTCCCCCTGGCTCAATGCCCTTCCTGCAGACGTCTTGAAAGTCAGAATAGAATAGAGTAGAATAGGAACAGATTAGAATAGAATATGGAATAGATACTGGAATGAAGGATAGAATAGAATAGAGTAGAACAGAACAGAATAGAATATGGAATAGAATAGAATAGAATAGAATAGAATAGAATAGAATAGAGTAGAGTAGAGTAGAGTAGAACAGAACAGAACAGAGTAGAATAGAATATGGAATAGATACTGGAATGAAGAATAGAATACAATAGAATACAATAGAATAGCATATAG